CCTAGCGCTGTCTGGTGCCTCATGCCCAGCCAGGGGGTCACAGTGCTCCTCACTCAGAGCCAACTGCACTCATGTGTCTGGTGGGCTCTTGAATTTGCACACCCACATATGCTCTTCTCATCCCAGCCGGGGCAGCAGCACCCCTTTCCTCCATCTGCTCAGGTGAAAAGCAGGGGCCGTCCTTGATGCTGATCTGGCCTCATTCCTGCATCCTGACCATAGCATGTCCCTTCCTCTCCACAGTCACCACCTAGGACACCATCGTCTGCTTGGGCCACCTCAGGTTACCCACATCTAACCCCTTTAGGACTCATCCCCCCACAGCTGCCAACACAATTTAAAATGTCAGTCAGAGCGTGTCAGTGCCCAACATGGAACCCTCCAGTATTTTCTCTTGTGATGAGGAGAATCCCCAACATGCCTGTGGACTTGTGTGGCCTTCAGTGAGCCTCCCCGCCTTCTCAGATCTCAGCTCACATGCGCGCACACACTTGTGTGTGCACACATGCACATGTAGCATACACGCCACACACACACAAGCATGCACATACTTCCGTACATGTACACACACCACCCCCACATGCATGCACACACACCTCACAAACATGCATGTGCATATACATATACATAGCACACATAGTCTCACACACCATACACTCTTACACATATGTATATACACACACACCGTCCCAGCCCCGCTTGCCCGGCCCCGGCTTCTCCGGCCTCTCCTTGTCCAACAGGCCAGTATGGCACCCCCTCGAGATGGTTGCTGGCCTCTTCTCCAGCTCCTGCCCTGGCTGCACCAGGTCTCAGCTCAGCTGCAACCTCCCTAGAGGAACCTTCAGCACAAAGCAGCCCAGTGGCCTTCCAGCTGGTCCTATCACCCCCACCACCTTGGTGACCATGTTTAGCTTGCATAGCCATTGTCTGTCCCCACCCCAGGCTGTGGGCTCTGCAGAGGCGCCCCTGAAAGCCCGTCCTGTGACCTCCACACCTGTGCTGCTCTGTCCACACACACATTGGGGTTAGAGTCAGGCCCTGGACACACCTATTCTGGGAACCAGTGCTTAGGACGGCCGGGCAAGTGTGCTGCCCATTGGGCTTCAGAGCATGGGAAGAACTGGCCATTTTTGGGAAACTGATGAGGGCCAGCAGCTAGACCCACCATCTTCATGAGAGTCCAGCAGGGCTGACATGCTCACCCCCATGGACAGGTGAAAAAAACGAGGTTTAGACATGCACATGAGTAACTTTCTTGCAGCAGCAAGCGGCAGAGTCAGAATGTGAATGCTGTGGGCCAAGCATCCCTGTCCCATCACCGCACCCTGCCTGGGGGAGGACGGCCTGGGCTGAGGCTGCTGTGTTCTCACAGGCACCGAACCTTCCGGCTTTACGTCCCCAGACACAGACACACAGTGATCTTGCCTTCTCAGGTGACCATTGTTGAAAAAGCCGACAGCTGCAGTGTCCTGCCTAGCCCTCTGTCTATCAGCACCAAGAGTAAGATGACCTTCCTGTTCGCCAACCTCAAAGACCGCGATTTCTTGGTTCAGAAGATCTCTGACTTTCTCCAGAAAACGCCATCCAAGCAGCCTGGTGGTAGTGGCTTGGGGAGGAAAGCCAGCATCGGGGACCAGGCCCCAGAGGTGAGAGGGTACCTGAGGAGCTGCAGGGTGGGGGTCAGGACGAGGAGAGGAGTCCAGGCAGCCCTGTGGCCCCTGCTGTGGGCCTCGGCACAGATGGTCCCCCTGGTTACCCCCTGGAGAGCCTGACACAGCCCTCGTCTCAGGTGTCCAGCCACACACGCTGCCCAAAGTCACAGGCCTCTGTACCAGCCACATCCCTCCAGTCCTCCTGGCATCTCCACCCACCTCAAGGCCCGTTGCATGGGAGAAGGCTTCTCTGGCTGGACCCGCCAGCCTGTGAGCTTGGGCTGCACTGGGAGCCACATTGTAGGCCCATCCAGCTTGGGAGCTTGGGTTCATTTTCCTGGCCTTCCTCCTGTCAGTCTTTCAGTCCGAGATTCATACAGGGAAAGACCCCATTTAAAGATGTAAATGCAATCTCTACTACTACAACAAAGTTAACAAGAATTCCTGAATATCAAATACTTATATTCAC